TCCAGAAAACTGACACCACAAAACTGGTTGCAGTTGAACCAGCTCAAATTGCCAATCCACAGACTCACAAGCAAATAACATGGTGGCTTTGAAGCCACTGAGTTGTGGAAACAATTTGTTAAGAAGCAGTTGAGCAAGCCCCAGGCTCAGCTCCATATTCTGTCTCCAGCTTGTCTCTATGCTCAGATCTAACACTCCTTGCAGGCAAAATCCATGACCTTCACTGTCCACACACCTTTTCCTCATCTTTGCTTCAGCCAGCACCATGGGAGCATCAAGGATGGGCAGATGCTAACAGAGCCCAACTCTAAAATGTTCTTAGTTTTCAGCTAACAAAGTTTCTTTGATGCCACAGTGGGAAGCCCAGAATTTGGGGATTAAACTGTATTTCTAAATAACTGTAATCATCCCACAGTATCTATGGTAATGGCTTTAGGATATCCCCTCATAAATGCATCTAGATACCAAAATTTTCTATGTATGTTCAAGTCCCTTATATAAAATGATGCAGTGATAATAAAGAACCTACACATACCCCTCCTACTTCATCATCTTGAGAGTCCTCATAGGACCTAACACAATGTTACGCTGTATAAATGGCATTCTATTCTATTGTGTCATGGGTGCTCAGGAAATAACAAGAACTCTGCATATATTTAGTAATAGAGACTATTTTTAAAAGTACTTTTGATCCAAGGTTAGTTGAACCAATGTATGTTAGTTAGATTTTTGTCACAGTGGCAAATGCTTGAGAAAAATTAAAGGAGAAAAGATTAATTTTGGTCCATGGTTTCAGGGATTCCAATCTGTGCTTGGCTGATTTCCCTGCTGTGAGCTTGTGGTGAGACCGAGCATCATGGGTCAAGAATGTGGGTCAAAGCAAAGTGGCTCACCCCATAGCAACCAGGAAACAGAGACAGACAGGAAGGGGCTATGGACTAGACACCTTTCAAGGACATGTCCTTAGTGACCTACTTCCTGCAATCAGGCCCCTCCATCTTTACCTCTCAATAATATCATCAAATAAAGCTGTATCAGCAGTTCAAGCTTTTAGCATGAGCCTTTCAGACTCATGGATGCAGGACCTATGGATATACAGGACTACAGTTAGCAATCATAGTGTATTTATTGTTGGAACCCAAGGACCCCTCTCCTATAGATATATACCAAAAGAAGAGAGAGCTGGGAGACTGGGCCCTTTCTTTCTACCAGCTCCTGGAGTACCACCAGCAGGCCACCAAGAGCATAGCATGATAGCAAGAGTCTTGTCATTGGGTGACATACCTCCATATCTGGACAGGTGATTCTGTCCAGCTGCCTTAACTTGTGGACAAAACAGGCATCTATATACACAGAACCTTCTGGGTTCAGGACACCAGTACCACGAGGGACACAGGGATGGCATTATTCTCTTAATCTTTAAGACTATCCAGTACTGTTCAGTCTACAAACCATGGGGAAATGATCAGCCCTAGTTTTCACAGACAGAACTGAGAGGCGAAGTGATGTGCCATAGAAGCCACTTTCTAATGCTCAATCGACCTTTGCCTTTGAGTATTTAGTGCAGCATTACTCACCAGCCAATAGCTGACTCCAGAGACGTCACACTGCAACAAGGGAACAGGCACAGACAAACGAAGATATGAGGTTTTTATAAGGCTATAACAGGACTCAAAGCCCAGAGGTGGCATCTTTCTTAAAGGTGCTAGGGTTCTAGTTGGAAGAATGGATATGACTCAGATGGACAGAAGATAAAAGCAGGCAGCCCACAATAGGCAAGGGAGCTTCAGTGGTGAGGAAGCAGAGGAGAAGGTTTTTGGGGTGAGTATGAACAGTTTTCCTGGTGACTTTTATTGCCAGCTGAACGTAACCTGGGAAAAGGGAACCTCGATGGAAGAACCACCTTAGTCAGAGGAAATGTCTTGGTGATTGATGTAGGAGGGCCCAGCCCACTGTGGGCAGCATCATTCCTAGGCAGGTGGGCCTGGGCTGTATAAGCAAACTGAGTATGAGCAAGCAAGCAATCCAGAGAACAAGGCACTAAATAGTGGTTCCCTATGGTTTCCACTTCAAGTTCCTCCCTTGAATTTCTGCCCTGACTTCCTCAATGATGGATTGAGACCTGGAAGTAAGCCAAGTAGATCCCCTTCTCCCTAAGTTGCTTTTGGTCAGGTTGTTTTATCACAGCAACCAGAAGTAAATCAGGACAGGCAAAATGAGGTGCCCAGCTGGAGGGTGAAAGGAAGGTTAGAGACCTAAGCTGGAGCAGCCAGGTCCTGTGCCTGGAGCTGTGGTGCAGAATTGTTGGGGAAAACATGACCCATTCACAGAGGGACTCATGGAGCATAGGAAAGACCTAGCATGGGTAATAACTGGTGTAGGGAAATCCTCTACAGAATTCTAAGCTAGACAAGCCCATTTATTCGCTAGCCTTATGCCACACTCATCACTCATCCCACCCCTGGGGGTACAGACAACAGCCTATCTCACACCCATTGAGGGTGACATAGTAATGACAGTCATGATTAGTGACACACAGACTCTCTAGCACATTATATACCCTGTCATACTAACCATGCTCAACATGTGTGACTCCTCAGTGCAAATGGCCCTATATAGCTGTGATTTCCACATCCATGGTTGAGACTATTGGGGAAGAAAGTTTTCCCTGTACTAAGCATGAACAGACTTTCATTTTCTCATCACTAAATAACACAGAGAAGCAACTGTCTGCGTAGCACTGCTTCTGTATCTGCTGTACTAAGCAATCTGAGCATGGTTTAAAGTATCTGGGAGGATGTGTAACAGGACACCACTTTATACAGGAGACCTGAGCATCAGCAGAGTCCCCAGGTCCATGAGGCTTTCGGGAACCAATCCCTACAGAGACTGTGGGAGGATTTCACTGTTCTTTCCAGTTGAAAATTAGATTTGACCCAGATTCTGACTTCAGAGTGTCTGCCTTCTCTTTACCTCTTTTCTCTGTACTACTAGGGTGAACCTAGGGCATTTGAGAAAGCTGGGAAAGAACTCTACAACTGAGCTATACACCCAAGCCCATCTTTACTTTTATTATTATTATATTTTATATGTTATAGGATATATGTAATATAATATAAAATATATTTTATAGGCCAAGGTCTCACTAAGTTGTCCAGGCTTTACCCATACTCTGTAGCCTGGGAAGGCCTCAAACTTGTAACCATCCTTCCTCAGCTTTCCAAGTAGATAGGACCAGAGGTCTGCCTCACTAGGTCCAGCTTTAGTTTTAGCTTCCAGAAAAGTTGGAGCACATTAAGGAGCTCTTTGGATGTAGGTTTAAGCTCAGCCATTACCGTAGTTTCATTGCTGTTCACTGTGGTCAAAGAGGCTACAAAAAGCATCATCATGGATGGAAGGGTCTGTTGGGCTTACACTTTCAGGTTCACAGTAATGACTGAGAGAAAGTCAAGGCAGGAACTCAGTAGACAGCCACAGAGCATCCACAGTTAAGAGGAGAGAGATGAATGCCCCCAAATTAAGTTTTTTCTTTTATTTTTTTTTAGACAGTTCAGGCCCAGCCCATGAAATGGTGTCCCTTACAATGTACTATCTTCTTATATCTCAAACAATCCACCCCGAATATGCCCAGAGGCCAACCTGGTTTAAATAATGCCTTATTAAGACTCTCTTTCCAGAATACTCTCCAAGTTGTATCTAGTTGACCGTTAGAAATCTCCAGTATGAGCTGGGCAGTGGTAGTACATGCCTTCAATAATAGCACTTGGGAGGCAGAGGCAGACAGGTCTCTACAGTTAGAGCAAGTTCCAAGATAGCCAACGCTACACAGAAAAAACCTGTCTTGAAAAAAAAAAAAACCCAAACTATCCAATATGGGCATGAAGGTGGGGAAGAGACAGATTGAAGAGAAGGCAACAGGTAGTATGTATCCTTGAGTGAGTGTGGCTCACCCAAAGTCTGTGCTTCCAACCAGCAGGCTATTCTGATCCCAGTGGATTTTCTCCACCAATTCTGTCTTTACTTGGCTTCACAGAACTGTATATTCTTTCACCAACGCACTCTCTCCCTATTTTACCTCAGTTAAAAAAAAATGTCTTATTCTAGGTTCCCAAGCTGCTGGGGTCTACACTGTGCCTTCCACCTGAAGTACAGGCCCCAGCTCTCAGCCCCTGAGAAACGCACTGCTACCACCATGGGTATAAATATAGAAATCAGTAATAACAAAGAGAACGGGCTCTCACAGCCTACACGTATTTACATGTTATATTAGGACTTTTATAAAGAAACTCTATGTACATCAAACATAACAATTCTACCTGGTGTTTCACCTGAAGGGCCTATCCTACATTGTGCCCTAAAGCTTTCTATGAGGCTCTCCACAGTTCTCACCAAGAAGCCAAAGTCTATTCTTGCCGTACAGTGTAAGTAGTGTCTCTCCATCCCATGACTACCCTCAGTTCTAATGCCCATCTCTAGTGTGGCTTGCCTTGGCTCCAAAGCAGGCAGTAAGGTCAGCTATGGCCTAAACTGTGATTTTCTCCACTGCAAACATTAAGGTGTGCTCGCCATTTCACTTCAGGTTATTCTCAGAGCAGGGTTCCATTCTATAGACAAAGACAAAGGGATCTAAAGAAGCTCTGTGCCCTTCTAAGACCACAGTCACCGAGCTGCACTCTCTGCCTGGAGCCTATGGCACCTGGTACCCAAGTCTGTAATCCTGCCCTCTAGAGACTTCACACCCTTGTTCCTAGCTTCCACTGCAGGACCTTTGTGCTCATAAGTAACACATCCTGTATCTGGCAGATGACATCACTCTCTCACACACTGTAACTCACTGAACATGCCTATGACCCATCCCAAACATAAGGAAGCGAGAATTGAGGTTCTGAGTCATTAAGAACTTTCATGATGACTCACTGCCACTCCAAATTCTGCCCCGCCTCCCTCCAGCTGAAGACAAGAGGCTCAGACAAGTAGCAATGGTCCTGGGTAGCACTTACTGTGTAGAGCTCATTGGTGACCTTCAGCAGCTCCTCGTGCATCTGCAGGCCAATCTCTTTGCTCTGGAATATGGAAGAACAAATGTCAATGTCAGCCCATAGACATGGTCTGGTTGTCCCTTCAAACTCAACTTACTGAAAAGTAACACACATATCCCCAGCATCTTGATTTTTAAAGTATGGGGTGACATCTTCCAGGGCTGTCAAGATGAAACTGTAAAGTTACTCTATAGATATTTTAGTATTTCTTCTCCTCAATTCAGTCTATCAGCATATCCTACTTTCAAACTGCCCACTCCTTTACATTTTGTAGTAGGAATTGGGGGTTCACTCCCTATAATCCAGCTCTTCCTACATCCTAATAGAGGCATGCATTGGTCTGCATTTGTCCCTCCAGCTCAGTTCTTCCAGGGAACTTCATCCCATCTTAACTCTATACCATGGATTGTTCTTTGTGCTGATACAGTCCTGGGTTGACTTAATGAGATAGACAAGCAGGATTTGCATGATGTAGGAGGTTTTAGCCTTTCTACCAACTGTGAACAAAACTCCAGATAGCCCAAGTTAGTACCAGCAGGCAGCTAGAGATAGAAAGGAGGGCAGAGTAAAAGGAACCTGGTACCCCTTCACAACTAAGTACTGATTAATCCAAAATTCAGAACTAGCCTCTAGTCTCCCTCTACTTCTGTGGCTTAATTGCTTTTGAAATGTTAGTCTGCATTCTCCTGCTACTTGTAGCCAGAGCATCCTAATGAATACAACAACCTCATCTTCCATCCCCAATTCCTAGAATAAGACATCCTCACTATAGACAAAGGGTTCTAAAGCTACACTTTTTAGCTAGGCTGGGTCATATCATGGAGGCTGATGGGGCTCTGACTCCATTCAGAGTAGAACTGGGAACCATTGAAAGCTTTAAAGTTGGAGAATGGAATGCTCATGGCCATGCCTCAGAAACAGGAACTTGTACATAGAGACTGAACTGGTGAGGCTGGAGGCATGTTCTTGTATTTCCTCAAGAGAACTCTAAGCCATCATATAGGACCTGCTAAGTTTCAACTCATCAACTCTTGGACATCTCCCCGAAGAGCCACAGTGTTGATGCCGGGCCAGCAGTCTTCAAAGCTTATTATTTTTGTTTTTGTTTTTGTGTCTTAGTTTTTGTTTTTTTGGGGGCCGGAGTTGGTTAAGGAAGGGAAGCATTCTTAATTACAGTTTTGAATACTACTGAGTAACGAACCCAAACCAAACATTCCGCCAGAGACAGGAGGCCAAAACCAAGACAATCTTCAATAGGCCACCACACCCAGACCTTGGGGACCTAGTGACAACTGACCCTCTCTCTCCACATTTCTTGCATTGTTTTCATGCCTGCAAAGGACACTGGGTGGAAGTCACTCGCTTCACACACAAGGTTGGACCAAGGAAGATTCAACCATTTCTACAGTCTTGCCTTTCTGACAAACTAACAATAAACTGCTGCTAGCCAGTCACAAGGGCCAGTCACTGTAAAGTAGGTGTCCCCAGTCTCCTTTCTCGCAACAGCTAACCCCAGCTAAACTCCCTTAGGAACAACTAACTCTTTGTCTCGACACCATTCTATGAATGGACGGCAGGGTGTTGGGTACCCTACCTGCAGCTTCCTAGTAGCAATCTCTACCTTTGGCCTGAAGTTGTAACCACCACGTCATTTCTATATATTGCCTAATGTCATGGAGGACTTAAACTATTCCTCAGCAAAGTACTGTCTTAGGCAAGGCCTCCAGGCAGTAGCTCTTCTGGCCTGCAGCAACCCTTCTGGCCCGCAGAAACACTCTGTTTGGCTACTTGGTGATTCTAGAAAGTCTGAGCACGTTCCCAGCATTTAGCAATCAAGATATTTCCCTTATAAGGCCCAATTTTCAGCTACTCTAAGAAGACTACATGGCCCAGTATTCCAAACCCTGTGTCAACTATGACAGTCTCATGCTCTCCAGCTGGTCACAGGGCCCAGGGCCTCACAGAAATGTCTCGGTTTATGTTTTCGAAACCAGGAGTCATTTAAGAGAGGAGTGGTCACCTGTACCTCTAGGTGCTCATTAGGATGACATCTGCTGGGCCAGGACACCTGGCATGTAAATGGACCTTTCATGCAGCATTCATTCTGCCCCCAGGTGCACCCAACTTACAGCTGCGGGTTCCACGCACACCAGGACAACTATGTATCCAACTCAGGTCAGAAATGGAAACTTGCTCAAAACATTATGAGATTTCTTTTTGGAACTTTGTTTTTCTGTAACTCAACTGTGTAGTTCTCACTCCTGAATTCTGTACACATTGTGTGGCAGTCCCAAAAGGTAGGATCTTCTGAAGAACATGGTTCCTGAAACACAGCCTTTGACTACTCAGCAGACCCCAGCACCATGACCCATGTGCATTCACCATGAGCCTATGCCTGGGCCCATGATATCTCTTCCAGTTCCTTCCTAGCTTTGTGTCCATTCACACATGCGTGGAATATCTAGTAGAGACCAGCCTACCAAGCACTGTAGAAAAAGCTGACCAGCAAAACCCTGCTCTCAAGCCGTTTTTAACAACAGCTTCAGGGCTCACGAGACAACTTCCTTTTGCTCAATACTGTTCAAAGTCCCTTCCATTCACTAATTTAAACCTTTAAAGTGGCTACGACTATCATTCTCTTTTGACACATGGGCAGAGCTAGAGATTCAAAGGACTGAGCACCTTGCCCAAGATGGTAGAAATAGAGAATGGCAGAACCCGCCATCAGCTTTTGGTTGTTCTGGCTCAAAAGCCCGATCTGTTTCTTCAGGGCTCAGTGCAGCATACAGACACACAGAAGAAAAACAGCCACTGCAAAGCCACAATGGATACAGTCCAGGCCACAGGCTTGGATTGGGAAGGAGGCCAATCCCACAGGACACTGCCTGTGTCTCCGATGTACCTTCTCACCATCTGCTCAGGTATCTCGAGGCCCTTCCCCCCAGCCTTTTCCCAGCCCCCCCCCCAAAGAAACTCTGCTCCTCTTTGTTTCAGTTGGCCAACTAGAGACACATCGGCTTCAGCGGCCATTGATGCTTCTCCGTTCCTCCTTCTAAGAGAACATGAGATGCAGGTGGGACCGGCCTATACCTGGCAGATCCACCAGACTGGGGCTGTGACATGGTGACCTGGAAGTTTGTCTCAGGGACTGGATCAGAGAAAGAACTGTGACCCAGGTTGAACCAAGAAGCTTTTTTTCCTTGGGGGAATTTCTTATAAAAGGTTGACCACAAAGACTTGCATGCAAGAGGAGCTTTATTGATGTCCTAGGATACTCTCATGGATGCAGTTTAAAGTTAAAATTAAAAGGTGGCCGTTTTTATCTTTCTTTGTCAAAACAGCCAAACATTAATTTACATCAACATGAAACAAAAGGACAAAGTTTCTCTTGTTATGACAGTTTCCGAGGGAAATCAATTCCATTGCCATGAATATCTTGCCGTGTGTGATTTACTTTAGTTTTTAATGCAGGGCTGATTATGCTTTTGAGGGGAAACTCTTAAGATTTTACTGTAGAACAGAGATGTAGCTCAGAGGTAGACTGAGTACTAAATATGTACAAGACCTGTGTTTGGTCTCCAGTACCACACCCCAAAATAAAGTCCCCCTCAAATAACAACAAAAGGCCTGCCTTAATGTAGATCTTAGGCTTTTATGAGCTGTATTTTAAAGGATTAATTCTTAAGGAGTCTGTCCATATTCCCATCAAGCTAACTCAGAGTTGGGCCATTTCTAACACTAATGGCATCTTCTATGTCTCCTACTTTTGGAATGTTCATCCGCTCCCAAACTCTGCTGAAACCTAACCCTCAAACTCATGTGTAATAGTATGGGAAGCATTTAGGATTAATTAAGGTTAGGAGTATTGGCCTCCATATAGGATTAGTGACTTTGTACAAGAAGAGAGATCGTAGGTGGCACTGCCTTCTGTCTTACAATGTGATCTTTGTACAACTATGGGGTTCTGCGTCATCCCTACCAGCAAGAAGGCCTTTGTTAGTTATGACCAACTTCAACCTTGGCCTTCCAGCCTTCAGAACTGTGATCGGAGTAATCCTGAACTCTTCATAAGTTACTTACTCTGTACCATTCAGTTATAGCAACACAGCACTAGGACAACATCTAAAAATAGCACTACCCTATGATGCTGAGGTCTCACCTAGACCCCCAAAGACAACAACCACATGTCTCTTTCATATGCAGATCCTAGCTTGGAATCTTTTGTTTTATGTATTTCACTTACAGTAGTACATATGAAAGCCAGGACACTAGAAACAGGCCCCTGGATGTGAATGGATGCTTCACGGAAGAGAAAATGGTGAGATACAGGTTAAAGGAAGGTAAGAAGTAAGAACACTGGGAGGTTCAGGGGGAGGTCCAAGTGTGGAGGTGCTGAGGGATGAGAAAATGGGGCATCAGCCAAAGGCTTATGAAGGGAGCATGGAAAAGTATACAGGAAATAATAATCTTATAACTCTAGGAAAAACTCGATTAGTTTAGATGACAGAATATAGAGGTCGTGAAGGGAGACAGGAGAAATGCCTGAAGAAAAGGTTTGAATGTGGAGAGAGAGATTGAGGAGAGGAGAGCCTAGGAGTTAGCCAAAATTAAAGATACATGGCCCACCATTTGTTAAAGGAACATAAGGACCCTGCATAGGTAGACAATGCTGCTTCCAGAATATATGAGTTATTAAACTCAAAATCTCAGTGCCAAGCATGGGCTACTTCTCCACAAGTTATTAGTCAGGAAGGCCCCAAAGGCCTCCCAAGCAACACATGCTACTGCTATTACTCCTGGTTGTCCACCATAACTGCATGGCAAGATCATACTGTTGAAGACATCATCCACTTTAGAAGCCAGACATAGAGAAATCAACCTCAAACTGACCAGAAAACTCTCTCCCTGCTGCTAGTTTAGATAGTGACACAAGGAACTATGTAGGTTACTGGGGGGGGGGGAACTCAGTTGTCTTCCTCGGCACTGGACACTGCGTGCCATAATACTGACCTGCTGGAAATCTG